AACTTAACCAAAACCTTGGGCCTTTTTAAAGTGACAAGAGATTAGGTAAATAAAGGTGAAAACAAAAAGACTGCAATACTTTTAAGGACTTTTCAAGCATTTAATCATTCTGGTATATACAGGAGTGCCTTAGTAAACTTCATTTTGGTAGTTATTAGCACAATTTTGTTTGTTTACTCTAATTTGAAACCTGACATAATAAACAAAACTGAGATAAAGACAGAATGAATAAAATTTTAAATTTCATATTCAACAGTATGCCTGTAATCAAACAACAGGGCCTCAGTATCTCCTAACTACAACTTATTATTTCTAAGTCTCTATTTCTGATAATAGGAAAAACTTTCCCTCAAAATTCTAGACTAACGTCAGGAAACTTAAATGCTTTGAATTCTTTCTGTCTCCTTTAGCTCCTCTTTTATGGTTGATACATCTCCCATGTTCCAGAAGCAAAGGACCAGAATTGTTATGAGTTCATCTCTTAATCTTCAGAGTATACAAATTAACTTTTTTGAAAGCCATTTTATTCATACATGGCATATGCATAATTTGTCAATTCTGAATAAAGAACACACATGCAGCTAGAAAGGTAGTTTTATTCACTAGCTTTCAAGGTGACAACAAATTAGATAGATGAAGGTGAAAACAAAACATGCAAGGGTATAATATTTTAAGGGACTTTTTGAAAATAAATTTTGAAAACAGTTCAGCCTCTCCACAATTTAACGATGAGGAAGAAAGTATTTTATTTTTGTAGGACTTATCCAAATTTTAAACCAAGAGCATAACCAATTAACTTGTTTTCAAATATTATAATACTACAAACACTAATAACATCAGTAACCAGAAAAATTAAACTCTAACATTTTCGAAGTGTTATATATTTAACCACTACTCACAAAGCACATATGCTAGTCTTTCTATGTTATTATTCTTAAAAGTTTAAAAATTTCAAAATCAAAGGCTTAACTGAGAAGAATGACCTATTCTATTTTTGGACAGTCTAAAGTGCCCAGATTAAGAAATCAGTATTTTAAAACTTTTTATCCTTGCTTGGCAAGTTGTGTGAAAGTGATGTAACAACTTAACTAAAACTTATCTAACTCAGAATGGCATATGTGCTGAAAAACTTGCACTGTCATCTAAGTACTACAATCTTGTTTTCATATGAAGGATACCAATATAAAAATAGTATCTAACCCCCCCAAAATAATATTCACTTTCTACTGAAAAAAATGTCAGTTTGACATGAATAGGGTATACTCAATCTATGATGTAACTTTATTATATATAATATGGCTCATTTGAAATTATTTTCACTTGCAGTTTGAAGGTCAGATAGCAAACTATCTGTATTCCAACTTTCTCTATTACAAAAACCAAAACCCAGGCCAATTGAACTAAAATATAACTGAAGTACTATTTGTAATTAATAGATGCAATTTTTATCATGGCTCACCAACTGGTTCAAAAGGCCACAAGTAGGAATTTCATACCTGCAAGAGAACACATGTGATAATACTCAAAAAATAATACCATAAATATTGTTGTGATTTGGGAATTGATCATCAAGTTAAATGCCAAGCTGAGGCTGTGGCTCAGTGGTAGAGTGCTTGTCTTGTAAATGTGAAGCCCTGGGTTTGATCCTCAGCACCACATAAAAATAAATAAACAAATAGATTTTGTGTCCATCTACAACTAAAAGAATATTTTTAAAAAATACATATAAAAAAGTATAACCAACTTTCACACTTAGAAATTTTATATATCTTTGAAAAGTTATGTAAAACACAGTTAAATTTTATATAAAAGTATATTAATTATTATGTATATGGTGATAATTTGTTCTTGAAATAAACTGGAAAAAATTATATATGATAAATACAATATATGTAAAAATATACATATTTGAAAATAATTATATAATGTTTTTCATATAAAAAATAAATTTTAAAAGGTCTAAAAATGTGACAGGAAACTGAAATGATATATATTATCCTTTAATGTTTTATATTTTATAAAGAAAAAATAATGTGTTATGTCATTAGTAATTAATAGAGAAAAGTTATATAAATCAAAGCTTACTTTCCTATTTACTTAGTGAATAATCTTACAGAGGTTTTTCCATTAAAATTTTAGAAAAAAGAACTATGGCCCAATAACTTCATTATACTCATACTTCAGAACATAGCAAATTCTTTCTGAACACTTGCTTTAAAAATTATACAATGAGGGGTTGAAATTGTAGCTCAGTGGTAGAGCACTTGCCTTGCAAGTGTGGGGCACTGGATTCGATCCTAGAACAACATAAAAACAAATAAAGGCATTGAGCCCATATACAACTAAAACATTTTTTAAATTATTATACAATGAAATAATATTACCACTTTAATATCCTAATAAATCTTACTGCTTTGCTACTCAAAAAGCAAGTGAGGCACCTAGAAAATTCAAAGGGATTTATTTTGACCTTAATACTTTCAGCACTTCTTCATTTTTTTCAGGCAGTTTTACACCTGAATTGCTAGCTACCTTTTCATTTTCTACAGTCTTAATAGACAAAGACCCTATCTTAAAATATGGCAGATTAACATTCTTCATGACTTCACTGGTAATGTGTTCCTTTTTAATTTCAGATTCTAAACATATAAAATACACTTGAAAGGAGTACATGATAAAGAATCTTAAAGTTTTATATCTATAATATTTTACAGAATTCAAAGATCAAAGCTGAGAAAAAATGTTTTTAAGTTGGAACAGAGACAAAGTTGCAAATTTACCATTGCTATAAAGGAAAAACATGCCCATTTTGAAAATGGCAATTGCAGGGAAGAAGACAATATATATTATGAGGGTGGAAAGGGGTAAGAGGAACAATGATCTGACTATCCATCATGCCTCCAAGACAACACACAGAGATATGAAAAAGGCACCAAAAAATACAGATTAGTACCTACACACAAAAGGAAAGCTCAAAAATTGAAATAAACAGTTAGAAGAAATTATCATCTAAAAGGTCCAGAGAAGGGACTGTAGCAGATGGCAACCACATTTCAATTCCACTTCTTCTTCTCATACAGATAACTGGTGTTCTTTACCTGACTACTCATCAAATTTTTATATAATATAGATAAAAGAGAGAAATGTAAGGCCATCGTTTTCCAAAATGAAAACAACAGATTAAAGGAAAACAGAATATCACCAAAGACAGTTATTCAATCATTACATGACTTAGGGACCCAAAGTGAGAAAATGCTGCAGTGTGTTAATTTACATAGATATAAAAATATTTTTACATGCATATTTAAGATAAATGGACAGAGTCAAGAATACCTTTACAAACTTTCAATAGTAAGAATACTGTTTGGCCTCTAGAGGGCGAACTTGGTCTTCTGGAAAAATACCAGTTCCCTTCAGACTTCAAAATAAAAAAGAGGAGGTAAAACTTAAAGTGTCACAAAAGCAGAGGTTCCCAATCTTTACTGGTTAACAATTCTCTTAGTATCTTAGTAATTTTTTTCCCATGCTGGGATGGAACCCATGACCTCATGCACACCAGTTAAGCCCTCTACTTGGGTTATATTCCCCAGCCCTCAGCAATTTTTTTTATAGCACCTCCTAAGTCAAAACAAAAAAATAATGGTTCTGTTTAATATGTAGTTATCTCCAACTTATTTAATAAGAATTAATATCTTATCACTAAGTAAACATTAAAGTAATACACTTAAGTTGAAGTTTTATTTTATTCTTAAATAACCAGAATAAATTACTAATTGATCTTGTATGCCTATCATATACTGTATACTTTCTCAAATTCTGAAATCAGATTATACAACATCACCCTCATTTTCTGTCACATACTAATTTTTGTACAATATTTGCTTTTTATCACATCAACCTAAGGAAAACCAGTCACAAAGTTATGATGTCACAAAAAAGTATGCAGTGGCATTTAATGTTGAAACTATGTACTTCTTCAGGTTACCAGTATTCACCATATCTGACAGATGTGGAGTAACAGTGAGCTTACCATAAAAAGTTTAAATATTGCATGATTTCCATGTGTGTAAACTGCTGCACACCAGGGTACCTAGCACACTCTAGTTTTACATTCAGCTGCTATATAAGCTTTTCTCTATTTCAATTAGTTGTAAATAAAATTAACTATTATGTTTTTAAACAATGTTACAAAAATACTTTTCTATATTACTTGGGAAACTATTTTTTTTCTTTTGAGCAATAAAAGGAACACTTAAATCCTTAGAGGAAGATTTTTTTTCCAATTTGAATGATGATTATTGCCTTAATGTGATTATGTTTATAGGTGTTGGCTATGTTAAATTTTGCAATTCAGGAGAAAAACAGGATATTTATTATGTATCTTTTTCTAAGCAATAACTTCTATGAACTTTAAAACATTACACACTGATCCAGTTTCACTGATCCAGTACTGAGAAACACAAGTTCAGGAGTCGAATAAGATCTGAAAATCTTAGTAACTCAAGAATGTGGATATTAATATGGATATTAGAAGAACTGGTTTCTAAATTACTAGAAACAGACTGTGGCAACTCTTCTTGAAAGGTCCTTTGTTTAGATAGAACACTGGTAAAACAATTGAGTTCAATTGCATAATCTTTTCAACTTGTGACATAATATCAGTTCACAACTAGCAATATTTATAAAATCTGTACGACTGGCAAATGTTATCAAGTACAACTGGAAATCAAAGTATCTGGTAAGAGTGATTGGCTAAGTTTTTTTTCTTAAGCTATCCAAAGAATAATTGGGAAAGAAAATCAATGTTCTGCTACTTTAAAGAATTATCTCAACCATAAAATATAATCAAAATATTGTGGCCTTTTTTTAAAAAAATTAAGATTACTGTAAGTATCTATGATACTAAAAATTTTTATCTAGAAAAATGAAACTGAATATGGTCATTAACAAAAGAATGCTTTAAAAATTATAGTAAACTACATAGCCATATTAGTACTTACCTGCTGAATGATTCTGGAAGTTTTCTGAAGATTCTCTCTGGGAGGGACTTTACCAAATAATTTCCAACCAGGAGCACTATGGACAACTGATTTGAGTTCCTTTGTTCTTTTTGGAAAAAGGTTTCTGAAAAAGAGAAAAGTTACACAAATTGTGAATTTTGTAACCAGGGAAATTTTAAATAGTAATTTTAAAATGATGTTTATTTCCAATGAAAATAAAAAATAATTTTAAATAAATTATCTCTATTATTTATACTGCTATTTCTTAACCGAGTAAGACTCAATTAGGAATACTGGATTTTCAAAGACTGAATGTTTTCTCTCTGATGCTAATCGGTAATTCGTAATTTTGGGGTGCCGGGTAAAAGAGAAAGAATGAAGGAACTTTGGATTGTGCAGAGGGGAGTGAAGGGAGAAGAGGGGAGAGAGTGTGGAATGGGAAGGATGGTGGAATGAGATGAACATTATCATCCTATATACATGTATGATTACACTACTGGTGTGCCTCTACACCATGTTCAGCCAGAAGAGGGAGACGTTGTGCCTCATTTGTGTACAATATGTCAAAATGCATTCTACTATCATATCTTACTAATTAGAATAAATTAAAAAATAAAATACTGGATTTTCATAAAGAAAAATGAAATTATATAATTTGTAGAAAAATGGATAGAATTGGGAACATTAGGTTAAGCCAAAAAAGCCAAACTCAAATTCAAGGATCAGATACTTTCTCTCATAGGTAGAAGCTAGAGAAGAAAAAGAAAAAGAAAACTATGGGCTGGGAAGGTGGATCTCATGAAAATCAAAGGAGATCAGAAGAGAAAAGGGACCTGGGGGAGGGATGACGGAAGGTAAAGAGGAAACCCTGAGGAATAATACTGGCCAAGTTAGACTATTAAATTGTGTGCATTTACAAATATATAACAACAAATCTCTCCATTATGTATAATTCTAATGCACCAATAAAAATATAAAAAATAACACCTGGCTTATATTAGAGGTATTAGAAGAATCATTAACAAAGATATTAAAGAGATAAACAATTAGGAGAAAAATGACAGTTGTAAATATTTGCATTGAATTGATAATTCATATACTTGACAATAAAGCCAAAATTTGGGAACAAAAAAATGTTTAAGAGGACCTATATAAAAGGGTTAAAGGATTAGATAATTTAATATTTTAAAATACTGTTTACTTTCAGTAATACTTTATGATTTGAAATAAAAATGCATCTACTGGGACTGGGGTTGTAGCTCAGCAGTAGAGCGGCTTGTCTAGCACATGTAAGGCCCTGAGTTCGATCCTCAGTACCATATAAAATAAATAAATAAAATAAATAAAGACATTGTGTCCAACTATACCTAAAAAATAAATATTTTTTTAAAAAATGCATCTACTGATTCCTCCACTGCTATATGTATATATGTGTCCTAGGATAGCTACATATGTGAAAGCTTACAGCAGGAGTTAATATACAACCAAGAAAGAAAGTATCTCTCACTGAAAAATCTAAATTAAAAACAAAATAAACAAATAAAAAAAATCTTGTACAAGAATCAAGGATTTTACCTATAATATCAAACTCTAACCAACCAAAGTAAACACCTATCTGTGTATATAAACTATTTACCCATTAAAACAATACAACAAAGGCATCATGGGCCAATTAGAAAAGGTACTGATGATTCCAATTAAATTATCAACCCTTTGTATAAACTACAATAAAAATGAACATTAAGAAAAATTTAAATTCACATATAGTTACAAATTATTTGAATTCCCAAATAACTAGGTTTAGCTACATTCAAAATACCATACATCTTAAAAGTATAGTGATAATAAGGAAATTTGTTTTTCTCTTTTAAAATTTTGTTCTTTTTAGATATACATGACAGTAGAGTATATTTTGACATATTATACATACATGGAGTATAAAGTATTCTAATTAGGATTCCATTCTTAGAGTTAGGATATATGTTTTTTAAATGTTTATCTAGTTGTAGATAAACACACAGTCTCTGTTTATTTTTATAAGCTGCTGAAGATTGAACCCAGTGCCTCACACATACAAGGTAAGCACTTTACTACTGGGTTACAGTGTAAGCCCCAGGAAATATGTTTTTAATACATAATGTTAAGAAGACCCTCCAAAGAAAAATCAATAAAAAAAGAAAAGAAAATTCTCATTTCCTTTGGTATACTAAAGAAAAGAATAGATGACATCAAAAGTAATTTCTATTTAAAATACTCTGGAGATTTCATCTCAGAGATCATATATAGTGACTTCATCATCTACTTCATAAGATCTCTAGGTTGGAGGTTTTTGACAATGAGTATACTGAGGACCAAGAATACTTACAAGAAACAATTTCAAGCTATGATGCATGGTCTATTAATTTAAACAATGTCTGATGTGTGTTTGCAACTTATCAATTCATTGCCTCTTAACTCCATATTCATCCTTCAATATATGCTCTGTGGGAACAAAATTATTTTAAACCTTTCCTTAAAAAGAAACATGAGGGTTGGGGATGTGGCTCAAGCGATAGCACGCTCGCCTGGCATGCGTGTGGCCCGGGTTCGATCCTCAGCACCACATACAAACGAAGATGTTGTGTCTGCTGAAAAAACTAAAAAATAAATATTAAAATTAAAAAAAAGAAAGAAACATGAAACTATTTGGCTTTCTAACCATGGGGCACCTTATGCCTCTCCTGTAGTTTACAGCTGCTGCAGAGGGTCAGTGGTATGGGTATGAGAACATTCAATGGAATTCTGCTCAGCCTCAGGTTGAGACAGTATAAGCCCTCAGCAAGCATGCAGTCTGGGGTTGGTTTTCTTACCACCCTCTTGACATGAAAACTGACTCTACCAAAGGCTTTCTATGGGCATCAATATGCCAATTCCCTCCACAGGCCCCACATAGTCTATGTCCTATCCTTCAATAGTCTCACCAAACCACACTTCCTCTACAAGTCCTCACATGACTTGCTTGCCTAGAAGGCCTCCCATCCATTCACATTAAAAAACACAGGAAAGGGCTGGGGATGTGGCTCAAGCGGTAGCGCCCTCGCCTGGCATGCGTGCGGCCC